TTCAAGCCAGCTTGTGGGTCACAGCACCCCAACATATTGATTGGAAGGAACATAATCTTCAGGAGGTAGGACCTACTTTCAGCTGGACATAGCTGTATCAAGCCAGAGAGTGCCACACCCTCACCAACCCATAAAGAATTATGGCGATTTATATCTCTGGGGGAAATGAGACAGGCAATTAGGCTTGGCCAACCAGCTGGGCAACTGGACATGCCCTCTCAAGCATGGAGATCTAGGACATGGGTGTCCAAGGCTTGTACCTGGAATCAATCAACAGATGCAGTCTTCAGTTCTTCTGGCATGAGATCAAACAGGTTTTTGATACAATGGCCTACATGCCAGTCTAAGGGTTGGGGGATAAAAAGCTCTCACCCATTAACCTCATGCTTGCCAGGTAGGCACTGTACCAATGAGTTATAGCCCAGGAACTGTAATTTTTTTTCTTATAGTATCATTTGGCTTTGGTATTAAGATAATGCTGGCCTTACAAAATGTGTTTGGAAGTGTTTCCTCTGCTTAAATTTTTGGAAGAGTTTGAGAAGAATTGGAATTAGTACCAGAGAAATGATCTAATCCTCAGTTTTTCTCTTTTGGGAGGTTTTATCATGGCTTCTGTTTTATTTATTACTAACCTGGTTAAATTTTATGTTTCCTCTTTATTTATGATTTTATTTGCTCTGATGTTCTTAGTCTGGGTAAAGACTAAATAGCTTTATGTTTTAAAGGATAAGCAATTCTTAATTGTTTTTCTAGTGTTTATTTCATTTATTTGCATTACAATCTTTATTCTTTCTTTGTTTCTAGTAATTTGAGGCCTATTTTTTCCTAGTTCCTTAAAATGTGAGTTTAAGTTTCTTATTTGAGATTTTAATCTTTTCAGTATTCTTTTTAATGTAGGAATTCATTGCTATAAACTTCCTTGTTAGAACTACTTTTGCTGTTTTGCTCAAAATAAGGCTGTCAATCAAGAAATGGATTAAAAAGATGTGTTATTATTACACAGTGAAGTACTATTCAGCCATAAGTAAGGATAAATGTGAGACTTTTATAGGTAAATGGATGCAACTTGAGACCATATTCATAATGAAATAAATTAGACTCACATATGTAGCCATCAGATTGTCTCCTTGGTGTGAGAAACTGAAAGCCTTAATAAAGTCTGAAATGTGCAATAGATATCGAGAAATGTGAAGAAATTGTTCAAAAGGAAATAGGAACTAAGATGGGAGAAACAAGAAAGGATGGAAGAAAAAAGGTGAAAAATACAAGTCAGTTATACTAAAACTTCATTAAAAAGGAAGATTTGTGCTAATATTGATTAGAAAAAATTTATGCCCATGTCTTATACTCTGAGCAACTACTTTGAAAATCAGAATATACGATGTATTACCTATTGTTATACTTCTATTATTTTGTTAGGACATTTTGTTGTACCTTAATTCCTTTCTTTCTTTCTTTCTTTCTTTCTTTTTTTTTTTTTTTTTGTATTTTAGAGAAGGGTCTACAGAGTGTTCAGGGTCTCACTTCTAGATCAGACTTGTAGTGATCCGCCTGTTTACAGCCTCCCAAGAGCTAGGATTACAGGCATGTGCCACCAAGCCTAGTCTCAATCACTAAATCAGCCTGCCCCGGGGGCAGGCCCAGCACAGCAGGCCCAGGGATTGAACCTCTGGTCCCTAATCTGCTGAGCTATTTGGCTGGCCCTTGTTTTACCTTTATCCTATAAAATATAAAAATAAGGCAGGAGAAGTGATTGGCTGTGGACTGAGTTTGTCAGTTATCAGCAGTGCTTCAGAGTGTTGGATGGGAAACAGCCTCATTAGTTATCTTACCCTTCTCTAGATGGGGCTAATTCCATGCAGAAGAGTCAGCCAGCTTTTTGCTACAGTGGTGACTACCTAGGTGCTGAGCAGTCCACTTTTTAGGGTAAGGGAGTGCGAGGGCAATTATGATTGACATTAATTTTCTTTTTAAAAATTTCTTTTAAAGAGAGTACAAAATAGTATTAAAACAGAAAAATTACAAATGATACATAATTTCACTAAGTTGAATATGAATTTCACATTATTTGTTGTATTGCATAGGGTTACCTTCAAATCAGTTGTTCATGCTACATATATCTATATGCATGCAAAATTGGAAGAAGGAAGAAAAAAGAACTATGTGAGCAGTTAAGAGGGGAAAAAGGCAAAAGAATTGAAAAAAGGAGACAAAACAAATTAAGATGAACTGCTCCTTCCCATAGGCCAGTATAAGTCATCCTGCCTACGTACATAGATATATTTCTCCCCCCCCCTTGTCCTTCTAATTTAGACTAATTTTCAAATAGTTCTCCGTTTTTAATTCTTATAGTATGTTACTTCTTTCCTGTTGCTGTTTTCTGAACATCTCTGTTTCGGCAAGGCCAGTTTTCTCAGCTTCTTTACACATCACTTAATTAGCTTCTTGTGGCTATAATAACAAATCACCATAAAGAAAACAGTTTAAAACAAAAATAAAATATTCTTTCGTGCATCTGGACTCCACAAGTAAAGAAAACAACAACAACAACAAACAAAAAGTTTTAAGCAGATCATGGTTCATTCAAAGACTCTAGGGAACAATATGTTCCTGATGTTACCCATCACATTTTACCCATCTGATGGCTTTGACAATCCTTTGCTTGTAGCCAGATCTCTCTAACTTCTGCTTCTGTGCCTTTTGTCTTACTTATGTGTCATCTCTGGATTATTTCTATAAGGATTGTTACCATTGAATTTAGAGCCCACTCAGAAAATTTGAGATAATCTGGACACCTTTAATTTATATCTGCAATAAATATATTTCCCAAATGAGGTAACATTCACAGGCACCTGGGAATAAGACTTTGGACATATCTGTAGGTGCCATCATTCAACACACTATAGCATTCCTCTAACTGCTTAATCATCTATTTAAGAAATTTGTGCATGTAGTTTGTGCCTGTATTCCCAGCACTCTGGAAGGCTAAGGAGAATAAGCTGTTTGAGCCTTGTCTGCACAACTTACTGACTTATCAAAGCTGTGTCACAAAACAAAGAAAATACAATAATCTTTGAAAAGGGCTGAGTAATGTAGCTCAGTGTGAAGGCCATGAGACCAATCCCCATTACTGCAAAATTAAAGGAAAGAAAGAAAAAAAGAGAGAAATTTGATGTCATTTTTTGTCTACTAAGAGCTTACTTTCTGTCTCCAAGTAATTTCACATATTTTCTCTCTGTCTCTGTCTGTCTCTATCTCAATCTTGATCAACAGAGAGATAAATTATACATATGTAAATATATATAGACACACAGGTATGTGAGTATGTGTTTCCTATACGACCAGTTGCTGGTTTATTGAGAAGAAAGGACATAAGTGTATTTAGTCAGTCACAGTTTTGGCTATGGCTCATATAGTTTGCTTCACAAGAGTCAAATTAAGCTGAAGCCTGAGAGAATACAGAGTAGAGCAGGTTATGTAAAAGAGTTCAAATAATTATTTTTCCTTTTAATATTTTTCAATCTGTTCCACCATGCCCCCAAAATGTTCAAAATTTTCCATGTTTTCAGGGTAACAATAAATATTCAACAATTTATCTGATACCTTGCATTTAGAATAGGAACAAAGAGAAGGAAAAAAATGCAAATAAAGCCTTTGTAAATAAGGAGGAAAAGAGGGGTTAAAGGAAGGGGAGGGGACTGGAAAAAGAAAGATGAGTATCTTAGGTACAGGTACAAATTTCCTATGTTGAATGTGAATATATATGTGTGTGTATATGTATACACACACACACACACACACACACACACACATATATATCTCCAATAAAATTAATTTAAAAATAAGATACAAACAAAGTGATAGAAAGTAACTGTTTTTAATTTACACAAATCTGACCCATATGATATTTTCCTGGCTGTTATCTTTTCAAATATTTTAACTTCTTTCCCATGGTTATGACTGTAATTTCTAACTAGTGGTAGTAAGAGATGGCATATATGCTACAACCTTGCTGGGGACATGGTCACTAATCAGTAATATCATTTGTTCTTAGCTGGTCACTTAGAAAAGCAAGTTTTGAGGCTCAAAACTGTTAGAAAAATTCAGTATTCTCACCTGCATGGAAATGGAAGCTAAAGCAGGAGAAGTGGATCAGGAAGGTATTTGCTCAAAGGCCCATTTCTCTTCTTTCTTGCTGTTCAAACTTGTTCTGTTGTTCATCTTCTATGTAGCAATGGGCTCAAGGGAAGTGACTCAGATTTTCTAGCTCAGAGAGAAAGATAGTTACTCTTAGGTAATCATGATAGTTTTATTCTGTTTTTCAGAGATCAGTTTAGGAAGAGTCACGTGATCCTTTTAGCCAACGAAAGATAAGGGGATGTGGGCTGTGGTCGCTTCTCAGAAAGCCTTGCTCTTCGCAATAAAAAACGCACTTTATTCTGACTCTGGATGTGGGTGAGGAAGTGATGTCTACAGCTGTTACATCCACTTAGGCTGTGAGAAGAACTTGCATAAATTGTCAAGCCAAGAGGTTAATATGGCAGAATAAGAGAGTGGCAAGAATCTGGTCCTTGGTGTTGAGCTGGAAAATTAGCCAATTCTGTAACTCCCTGGATTAGCAAGGCTTTGCCAGAGAAACACGAACCCTGGGATATATCTATATCTATATCTATATCTATAT